TCCTATTCGACCTAAATGTATAAATACGCATTATCTGTAACATTTTATGACCACGACCAGGACCAGGACTCGGTTCCGGATCCTGATTGTCTTCTGGATTCGAACCTCGTACTTTCTAGATGCTTGTAGAATACAAGTTCTACTTCATATCAAGTCTTCTTTTTCTTCTCAATATGGGGATTTGGATATTCGGATTTGAGTAGTATGTCGTGTCACCGGATCCTCGCTCTCGTTTTCCGACTAGGTAAACTCGTAATAGTTCAAGTATATCAAGTTGACGTGTTTACGTGCAGGCGTAACAAATACAAATATACCAAGTATATATATAAATATATCATAATAAGTAATAATTACTATTTCATTTTTAATATCCTGTCATTGAATTAGTCAAACATTGTTACATTGTTACATTGTACAATAATGACAGTGTTGACATTTTTCTCATTGTTTTATATTATTTCAATGATTATCATTCATGTTTACATGTTCAATTTACAATTTTCAATATTATCCGATAAATTGTTAAGATGAACTGAAAAACTTTGTTAATTAATAACACATATAGACAAAAATTTTTCATGTTCTCTAAACAAGTAGTTTTTCCCCCCTTCATTGAATAAATAAATAAATTTATTATTATTAATAACTGTTTGAATGTATATCATTTGTATATGTTTCAATTATCTAGACATATCAGTAAATTAGGCGGACGATAGGTTATGTGATATTTATGATACCAGTTGAGTTATGCTGCTGCTAAGTATGATAACAGCATATAATCAATCTGAATAGACTGTGTGACAAATATTGTGATATATAATTGTACTACTTACAAATTATGAGTAGTTATTACTTTTATGAGCAAACTAATTTGTGATGGAGTTTGACCTGAAATTACAAAATGGCTGACTATTTAATCCAACATTTTTAAAAGTTCCGCCCATTATTCCTTCATATAAACCTATGAAAATTGTATTTTACAGGATTACGTTTATCATAGGAAATTCGTCGAATTGTAAGGTTGAAGAGAAAGATGTCAATCGACTCCATATTTTATCAAATTGCCTGATTATACTTTGGACAGTGTGTTGTGTTGAATGAACTTCAGACTGTTTACAATTGTTTTTAGAAATCGTATACGTTGTGTTAGGATGTTAGAATACTGCTAAACTACTTTTTCCTATTCAAACTCCCGTAAATGACACTAAATTTTATTTGATCGTATGTTATTCTGCTTTATAGTTAAATTCTTAAATTACAAGTTCCCCTTTGAACTTTGTTTTTCATAACATTGGATATAATTGTCAATATTGATGCATGTCAGTGAACGAGTCATTTGAATTGGCGTATATAACTAATTTTGAAATAAAATATACCAGTAGTTCGTAATTAGGAATTACCATTGGCTACAGTAAGATTTTAAAGACTGAAACTGTTGTTGTTGTTGTTGGGGTCGTTAGATCCCTAGAACTCGATTGATGTCGTAATTTTGGATTTTATTCATGGGCTGACCAGTTGACCTTGAGATAACATTTCCCACCAGGAAAATCCTTGGCTGTGATTGGTTGAAGAGTTATTTTATTGTGACTGCATTTTCCGACTCTCCCAAGGACATTTCTATGATGTATAAATAAACGAGATTTGTGTGCTTGATGTGTGTTTGTAGAATGTACTTGTAGGATTTAATTTGTCCTACAGATGTAATTCTAGGATGGTAAACGCAATATTGGCGAGCTTAGAGTCTATGGGAAAGCTACAGTTAAAACACGATCAACTTTGCTTTAAACTTTATCTGTTTCTAAACATAAAAACAATTAGATTAGTACAATAAATAAGGAAATTACAATTATCATCAAGTAAGACGAGCAAACGTACCGACCAATATAGAGCGTGTCTTATGGAAATGAGTACAGTTATGAGTCACTTCAATCGAATAAGATAATAATGTCCTTCAATCATTAGGTCATTTACAATAAAGAAAGTTTACAGACATGTCAGATGAGATCACGTGGTGGGCGCTCAAACCACAATCTGATTGGTTAGTTATGGCATAACTGCAATCAGTTATAGAAATAACTAACAGTACTTTCTACGCTATATCAAAACATTTGGTTAGCCATTTGGATCAGGGTAGCCTACCTGGACGCTGATTCATTGTCTCGTTCTCGTTTATCGACTAAGGTGAACCCGTAATAGTTTCAAGCATATCAAAGTGACGATCATAACAAATACATTGAGTCAGTCAGTCAGTCAGTTGCAACGTAGAACTTCGTACGTATGTAAATAAGTTCATGTTGCCATACCACATTACTAGCACAGAGACGCAAATGTCAAATCAAATCCCATAGAGTAGTAGAGGTAGTAAAGGTATCAGAAGTAATCGGAGAGGTTAGGGTTTGAAGATATTATTCAAGAAGTATAATTCAGTGAGATAAGTTTAGAAAGACAAAACTAGAGGTGTTGAAGAATCCGGAAGATAAGGATTTGAGAGAACACAGAGAATAAATGCACCGGCGCCATTGAAAAAGATTTTGAGCCATGTCGTTCAAGGTCTCTAACCAATGATGACTTTCGTCTAGCGGACCCCAACCAGGTAGCCGACAGTTACCAACATGACTCAGTCCACTTGTCAGTGACTTCATGGATTTCTGCCATGTTTTGGTCTGGCCGCCCCTAGCTTTTTTCCAACCTACTCCTACACCACAAAACATAGCTCGTCGAGGCAGTCGGTGGTTAGCCATACGTAACAAATGTCCCAACCACCTCAACTGATGAAGTTTCACAACCCTTGAAAAATCTGATGAGCCTAATGTTAACTCTAAGAGAATGTCTACGACAAAGTTAAACAAGAATGGAGAGAGTGGACAGCCCTGACGGACATCACTTGATGTAGAGAATTCAGATGACAGTTCGCCATAAGCTCTCACTCCACCTGTAGTGTTCGAGTAGAGTGCTTGTATGAGGTTAATGTACTTCTTTGGTACTGTGGTGCTGTGGTGCGAACTACTTATAAGTAGTATATAGCGTGAGTGTCAACGTAAAGTCTGGTAGCATAATATGGGGGGAAGATCAAGAAAGGAAGAGTCAGAAAACAATGGAATTTGTATGAAACGCATGAAGAGTGACAATGGATTGATGTTTGGCAACAGGAACAGTCCAGTTCCATAGGATGAACTGATCTTTTGCAAATGAACGATTTACGATATGGTTTTCCGATTTTACTGAGTAACTCTGTAATTTTCGTTAAATACAATTCGGTTGCCCCCACCTGTGTTCTCATTCACTACATTTGGTGTCGCTGCCTGCTCGAAGGAAGGGGCTCCCGTGGCCGAAGGAGTTGCAGGACGGAGATTGGCGGAGCTTCCTGGAGGAGTTTGGGGCCACGGTGGAGCTGGTGGGGGCTTGGGGCGGAGTTGACGGTGCTGGGGACGCTGTGGGGAGGTGGGGCGAAGGCGGTGCACGACAGCCTGGACGGTGCCACCAAGGAGACGGCGTGGGAGACGGTCACCGGGCGGCTGATAATGGAGTTCGACAGCCCAGCGGACAGGGAGGAGGCGCCGCAGAGGTTCCGGTTGGCGCGGCTGTCGGCCGATGGTGACCTGTTGGTGCTTGCTGTGGAGCTCACCGGATTGCGCCGTGAGGAGTGGACGGGGCACAGTCTTTGGCGTCGCAATTTATCGAGTGTGTGCCTGCCGCCGTGTTCCAGCATCGGGAACTTGTGGACGCTACACGTTGGATAGATGCCGTATCCATTCCAGACCAGTGATCAAGAACGATGACCGAAGTGGTAATCCGGCATAGTGTAGCGTGTCACGGAATACGGAAGGTGATATTAACTGACCAGGAGCTCTGTTTTGAAGGACCACGACGACAGCTTATTAAAAGGGGGGACGAGTGTGGTGCTGTGGTGCGAACTACTTATAAGTAGTATATAGCGTGAGTGTCAACGTAAAGTCTGGTAGCATAATATGGGGGGAAGATCAAGAAAGGAAGAGTCAGAAAACAATGGAATTTGTATGAAACGCATGAAGAGTGACAATGGATTGATGTTTGGCAACAGGAACAGTCCAGTTCCATAGGATGAACTGATCTTTTGCAAATGAACGATTTACGATATGGTTTTCCGATTTTACTGACTAACTCTGTAATTTTCGTTAAATACAATTCGGTTGCCCCCACCTGTGTTCTCATTCACTACAGTACACCTTTCAATGACAGACACTCCCACAGAATCTCACGATCCACTGAGTCGAATGCCGCCTTAAGGTCCAGGAAAACAACTATTGTAGGACGTCTAAATGTGTGTCTGTGTTCCAGGACCTGTCGTAGTGTGAAGATGTGTGGTCTATACAACCATGTCCAGGTCGAAAACCAGTCAGATGGGATTTTACGTCCAGTTCCCAGATTCTACCTAACATCTCGGTCAGTCTAACTGTTAAAAACTGGACCAGCATCCTTAAACATCTCAGGGATCAATCTATCAGGACCTGCTGCTCTACATTGAATAAAAATCACAACTATTCAAAGTAGTTCCTTTTTATTGAATTCATCATTCTATCCATCGAGGTTCAATAAGAACATCAACAATTGATAATTGAACACGTTATTCAACTGTAACTTTTTTTAATAATTATAAAACATTTTTTTGAGATTTATAAAAATGTAACAATAAATCAAATTACAAATATTCTAAAATTCATAGGCGAAACGAGAAATAATAAACAAACACACTCAAGAAGAAAGATCACCAACATGAAGAAGTCAAATAACAAAAAAGAAGACAATTTTTGAAATGCATTTCATTGAAAATTGTACCGAAAAAAAATAAAATAATAATTTATTGATTTTCTAATTTTGAAAAAAAAGGAAAAAAGTTACTAGAATCAAAAAATTGTTTTTATTTTTGTTGTTGAGAAAAAGTAATCTACAACAACATCAACACCTAACATTAAGAATAGAAATTTGGAAAAAAAGGAATCTTCATTAATCTACATACAGCATTGATTTGTGTGAAATGATGAATATGAATGATGTTGATGATGGGGCTGGGGCTGGGGGAGGGAGACTTGAAGGTTGTGACAGCTATTCACACCGGAATTGATATGGTAGACATAATAAAATCAATAATGAAATATTTTTTAAGTAGTTTATATGTATACGTACAAACATAGAAAAGAAAATTGGATAACGTTAAGTTTTTACTTTTTTGAAACCATGAATCGAGCAATGTTAGACTCACACCATTAGAGAAACTTGGAAGCACTGAATGACAGCCGTTTCGTCCTGGTATGGGACTCTTCAGCAGTGCGCATCCACGACTCCTGCACCCTTCAGGATTCGCGAACGCCTAACCATCGGACCACTAAGCCGGTATCTAACGGTGTTAATGTCTAACTTGATCAAATTCACGGAGTTGCACAACCTCATAAACCGTATTCGGTAGACACTGCCTACACTCGAACAAGTTGAACTTCACTGGTCACGTCTTCCCACCACTAGAACTCGAAGACGATTCTTCAAGAAGCTAGTCACTAGTGAGCACAGGTAATGTGCATTACGGGGTTGTGAAGATTGTTAAGTTACACATTTTTGAAACCATGAAGAGTCCTATACGAGGACGAAACGGCCGTCCAGTGCTTCCATATTTATTGTCTATACTCGACAGGTGGGGATACGTAAAACCTTTAGACATGAACACTTCTTTGATTCCGCCAGCTCAGTGGTCTTCAAAGGTTAGGCGCTTACGCTTAAGACTGTAAGGTCCTGGGTTCAGTTTGTGCAAGTAGCTGCAGTCGTAGATGCGTACTGCAGATGTGTACTATACTAAGATGACGAAATAGGCGTAACCAATCAATCAATAGAATGCATGTAGTAAATAATAACTTACCAATAAAAAAAATAATCAATAACACAACATCTTCTCTACAACATACAAAATTTCCTTTATCATATAAATATTGAGAGCAATGATCATTTTCTCTTCTGTATCGTACAGTACAGTACAACAATTGAATTATAAGAAGAAGTTTATATACTGTTGTCATTTTATTCTTGTCTTAGTAGAAGTAGTAGTCATCGTTGAGGCAACGGGATGAATGGTAGTATTAGTAGCATTAGTAGCGGCAGTAGTCTTTGTGGAAGATGTAGAAAGTATACTGCTTTGACAATAAATTACAGCATCATGTATACTCATAAATGAATTCTGTTCAATTTGTTTGGCTGTTAACTGTTCACTTATTAATACTTTGTATATTTGTGGATCACATCTGGTGAATAGAATGTGAATATTTAATTCGGCATAACTTTTAATCAGCTAAAAACATGTAGAAATCAAAGAAGAAGAAACAGAGAAAAAGCGTCTAATGAAGATTATTGAACAGAGAAAAGCTTTAAAGATACAAATTGATAAAGTTCAGTCGGTCAGTCAGTCAGATGCAACGTAGAACTTCGTACGTACGTATGTACATCAGTTCATGTCGCCATATCACATTAGTACACAGAGATGTAATTGTCAATTCAAATCCAATAGAGTAGTAGAGGTAGTAAAGGTATTAGAAGTAATCGAAGAGGTTAGGATTAGAAGATATTATTCAAGAAGTATGATTCAGTGAGAAAAGTTTAGAAAGTCAAAACTAGAGGTGTTGAAGAATCCAGAAGATTAGCATTTGAGCGAATACAAAGAATGGATGCACTTGCACCATTGCAAACGATTTTGAGTCATGTCATTCAAGGTCTCTAACCATCGATTACAATCATATCGCGGACCCCAACCAGGTAGTCAACACCTACCAACATGACTCAGTCCACTCGTCAATGAACTTCATGGATTTATGTCCATGTTTTGGTCTGGCCATCACTAGCTTTTTTCCAACCTATTCCTACACTACAAAACAAAGCTCGACGAGGCAGTCGATGGTTAGGCATACGCAGCACATGTCCCAACCATCTCAACTGATGCAGTTTCAGTACTTCATCTATTGATCTGCCATTCTCACCTAGCACCCGTTTCCTAATAACAGCGTTGCTCACTAGGGTGTTCCATGGTATACGAGCAATGCTTCGAAGACACCTATGATCGAAAACCAATAACCTACGAATATCTTCTACTCTCACTGGCCACGTTTCACAGCCATAATGTAAGACGGAGTTAACTACTACTCATTACTCTCGTCCTTTAGTCAGCAAACGAATATCTCACCTACACCATAAGTGACGCAGGTTGGCAAAAGTCAATCGAGCCTTCTGTATCCGTGTTGAGATTTCGTCAGTCACCAGGCCATCAGCGCTGATGAGACTCCCCAGATAAGTGAAGATGAAATTACTTGCTTACTTATACCTGTTACCCCTAATGGAGCATAGGCCGTCGACCAGTGAATTATTACTTCCGGTTAGTTGTTAGGATATTCATCCAATATCCTAAGAGAATTAATGGTCGATTCCTATTGGTCATTTTTACGGTCGTCCTGTATTATCAATGTTACGTACTTCAATGTTTTTTCCTGTTGGTCGCCTTAACTCTCAATATCACAGACTTCGATGCTATTTCCTATTCAACCTAACTGTATAAATACGCATTATTTGTAACGTTTTATGACCCAGACCCGGATCCCCAATCCGGGATCCTTGACTTCTTCTGAACTCGGACCTGGTACTTTCTCAGTCAGTCAGTCAGTTGCAAGGTAGACTTTCGTACGTAGGTACATAAGTTCATGTTGCCATACCACATTATTAGCACAGAGACGCAAATGTCAAATCAAATCCCATAGTGATAAAGATAGTAGAGGCATTAATGGTAATGAAGAAGACTAGGGTTTGAAGATATTATTCGAGAAGTATAATAATTCAGTGAGACAAGGTTAGGAAGACAAAGGTAGACGTGCTGATGATTACAGAAGATTAGGATTTGAGAGAGCTCAACGAATGGATGCACTTGCGCCATTGAAAACGATTTTGAGCCATGTCATTCAAGGTCTCTAACCATCGATTACTATCATCTCGTGGACCACAACCAGGTAGTCCACTTGTCAGTAACTTCATGGATTTCTGCCATGTTTTGGTTTAGCCGCCCCTACCTTTTTTCCAACCTATTCCTACACTACAAAACAAAGCTCGACGAGGCAGTCGATGGTTAGGCATACGCAGCACATGTCCCAAACCATCTCAACTGATGAAGTTTCAGTATTTCATCTATTGATCTGACATTCTTACCTAGCACGCATTTCCCAATAACAGCGTTGCTTACTCGGGTGTCCCATGATATACGAGCAATGCTTCGAAGACATCTATAATCGAAAACCAATAACCTACGAATATCTTCTACTCTCACTGGCCACGTTTCACAGCCATAATGTAAGACGGAGTTAACTACTACTCATTACTCTCGTCCTTTAGTCAGCAAACGAATATCTCACCTACACCATAAGTGACGCAGGTTGGCAAAAGTCAATCGAGCCTTCTGTATCCGTGTTGAGATTTCGTCAGTCACCAGGCCATCAGCGCTGATGAGACTCCCCAGATAAGTGAAGATGAAATTACTTGCTTACTTATACCTGTTACCTCTAACGGAGCATAGGCCCTCGACCAGTGAATTATTACTTCCGGTTAGTTGTTAGGATATTCATCCAATATCCTAAGAGAATTAATGGTCGATTCCTATTGGTCATTTTTACGGTCGTCCTGTATTATCAATGTTACGTACTCCAATGTTGTTTGTTATTGGTCGTCCTGACTGTCAATGTCACAGACTTCGATGCTGTTTCCTATTCGACCTAAATGTATAAATACGCATTATCTGTAAAGTTTTATGACCCAGATCCGGATCCCTAGTCCGGGATCCTTGACTTCTTCTGAACTCGGACCTGGTACTTTCTCAGTCAGTCAGTCAGTTGCAAGGTAGACTTTCGTACGTAGGTACATAAGTTCATGTTGCCATACCACATTATTAGCACAGAGGACGCAAATGTCAAATCAAATCCCATAGTGATAAAGACAGTAGAGGCATTAATGGTAATGAAGAAGACTAGGGTTTGAAGATATTATTCGAGAAGTATAATAATTCAGTGAGACAAGGTTAGGAAGACAAAGGTAGACGTGCTGATGATTACAGAAGATTAGGATTTGAGAGAGCTCAACGAATGGATGCACTTGCGCCATTGCAAACGATTTTGAGCCATGTCATTCAAGGTCTCTAACCATCGGTGACTATCATCTCGTGGACCCCAACCACGTAGGTGGCCTACATCTACCAACATGGCTCAGTCCACTTGTCAGTAACTTCATGGATTTCTGCCATGTTTTGGTTTGGCCGCCCCTAGCTTTCTTCCAACCTATTCCTACACTACAAAACAAAGCTCGACGAGGTAGTCGGTGTTTAGGCATACGTAGCACATGTTCCAACAATCTCAACTGATGAAGTTTCAGTATTTCATCTATTGATCTGACAGTCTTACCTAGCACCCATTTTCCAATAACAGCGTTGCTCACTCAGGTGTCCCACGATATACGAGCAATGCTTCGAAGACACCTATCATCGAAAACCAATAACCTACGAATATCTTCTACTCTCACTGGCCACGTTTCACAGCCATAATGTAAGACGGAGTTAACTACTACTCATTACTCTCGTCCTTTAGTCAGCAAACGAATATCTCACCTACACCATAAGTGACGCAGGTTGGCAAAAGTCAATCGAGCCTTCTGTATCCGTGTTGAGATTTCGTCAGTCACCAGGCCATCAGCGCTGATGAGACTCCCCAGATAAGTGAAGATGAAATTACTTGCTTACTTATACCTATTACCCCTAATGGAGCATAAGTCGTCGACCAGTGAATTATTACTTCTGGTTAACTGTTAGGATATTCATCCAATATCCTAAGATAATTATTGGTCGATTCCTATTGGTCATTTTTACGGTCGTCCTGTATTATCAATGTTACGTACTCCAATGTTGTTTGCTATTGGTCGTCTTAATTGTCAATATCACAGACTTCGATGCTGTTTCCTATTCAACCTAAATGTATAAATACGCATTATCTGTAAAGTCTTATGACCCAGATCCGGATCCCTAGTCCGGGATCCTTGACTTCTTCTGAACTCGGACCTGGTACTTTCTCAGTCAGTCAGTCAGTTGCAAGGTAGACTTTCGTACGTAGGTACATAAGTTCATGTTGCCATACCACATTACTAGCACAGAGACGCAAATATCAAAACAAATCCCATAGTGATAAAGATAGTAGAGGCATTAATGGTAATGAAGAAGACTAGGATTTGAAGATATTATTCAAGAAGTATAATTCAGTGAGATAAGGTTAGAAAGACAAAGGTAGACGTGCTGATGATTACAGAAGATTAGGATTTGAGAGAGCTCAACGAATGGATGCACCTGCGCCATTGCAAACGATTCTGAGCCATGTCGTTCAAGGTCTATAACTATTGGTTACTATCATCTTGCGGATCCCAACCAGGTAGTCTACATCTACCAACATGACTCAGTCCACTTGTCAGTGACTTTATGGATTTCTGCCATGTTTTGGTCTGGCCGCCCCTAACTTTCTTCCAACCTACTCCTACACTACAAAATATAGCTCGTCGAGGCAGTCGGTGGTTAGACATACGCAACACATGTCGTAACCACCTCAACTGATGAAGTTTCACCACTTCATCTATTGATCTGCCATCCTTACCTAGTATTCGTTTCCTAACGACAGCATTGCTTACTCGGTTGTCCCACGCTATACGAGTAATGCTTCGGAGACAACGATGGTCGAAAACCAGTAACCGACGAAAATCTTCTACTCTTAACGTCCATGTTTCGAACCTATATAGGAGAACGGAGCGAACTGCTACGCAGTACACCCGTCCTTTGGTTAGCGAACGGATATCACATCTACGCCATAAGTGACGCAGGTTGGATGTTCGTAGAATACAAGTTCTATTTCATATCAAGTCTTATTCTGCTCAATGGAGTGTTTGGGACAATCGGAGTAGAGTAGCATGTCATGTCGCCAAATCCTCGATCCTCGCTCTCGTTTACCGACTAAAGTAGACTCGTAATAATTCAAGCATATCAAATTGACCTGTTTACTTGCATACGTAACAGACAGATGATTGTAACGAGAAAAGTAAAATGAGTATAGTTTATGAACAATTTTCCACAGAATTTTATTAAAATTCATTTGAAATGTAAACTTTTAAGTGTGTTCTTTTTTTAACCCATGAAACAAGTATATCAATCGTTGATATTATTGAAATTAACTTACATCTGTAACAGTTCGCATACCTACAACATCTAAATATATCCATGATGATATATCTAAGATAATAAATTTTAATTGGTCAGTAAGATCAGTATTATCCTCATTATCATCGTTATTTTTAATAAAATTAGTCTAAGAAAAAAAATAAATAAATAAGAATGTAAAATAAACAACACAGTTTTTAATAATCTATTTTTAATCTACTGAAATTATATATAAGTAGTCTATCTATGCAATAAACAAATAAATAAAGGATTTCATATTACAAACTTTGCAAACACATATATGAGAATTTCATTCCGTTCAAAAATTTATTTAAAAGCTCTTGAATTTGTCATTGATTGGTTTTCAATACTGAAGGAATTTTTTCAATCAACTTGCACTATGGCTACCAATAAATAGTATTGAGTATTGAGATAATAAGTGGATTCTATTGAAAAGTTTAGTAAACAAAATATTCTTTTTTTGGTGTAGGTTACGGGTTGTTTGACAATCAATTGCATTGCATATCAACAATTGTGAAAGCGATTCATCAATTACAAGTATTTCATTCCTGAAGTAGCAGTTGGTGGTCAGTAGGATCCTGATGGACTCAATGGTATTTTGTTCGACTGTGAAGTTAGTCTCAATCGCATAATCAGTATTAGTTTGCTTAAGATTGTAGATGAGTGCTGAATAGTACTGACTAGTGACCAGGGTCTTGAGGAAATTCTCAAAGTTCTAATTAGCAGCCATGACTGGTGTATTTCAACGCTGTCAAGTGTAGGCAGTAACAACCAAAGACAATCGGTAAGGTTGTGCAAATTCTTAAGATTGATCAAAGTTAGACATTAATGCAGTGTGGGGCCACCGGCTCAGTGGTCTAGAGGTTAGGCTTTCGCGCATAAGACCAAAGATCCAGGGTGTTTGATTCCAATATGTGGGGGTCGTGGATGCGCACTGTCGTATAGGATGAAAATGGCCTTCCAATGCTTCCGGGTTTCTGATGTCAGTCTGACGATGAGTGGCTTATGATTTCAACATAAATTCAGAACCTGGACGTACTGGAGGGGAACATGTATTGTTGATTAAAGCCATTATTATTATTATTATTATTATTACCAGACTACAAGTATCATTCACTGTAGAATTATTTTAAATTACAAGCGACTATCTTTATTACGGGGTTGTGAAGATTGTTAAGTTACACATTTTTGAAACCATGAATCGATCAATGTTAGACCATCATTAGAAAACTGGAAGCATTGGACGGCCGTCAAGTCCTGGTATGGGACTCCTCAGAAGTGCGCATCCACGACTCCTGCACACCGCAGGATTCGAACCCAGGACCTTCGGTATTGTGCGCGGACCACTGAGCCGATATCTAACGGTGTTAATGTCTAACTAGATCAAATTCATGGAGTTGCGCAACCTCATACACACTGTCTTCGGTAGACACTGTTTATATCCGAACAGGTTGAACTTCACAGGTCACGTCTTCCCACTAGAACTCGGAGAGGTTTCCTCACGAAGCTAGACACTAGTGAGCACAGGTAATTTGCAATACGGGGTTGTGAAGATTGTTAAGTTACACATTTTTGAATCCATGAATCGATCAATGTTAGACCACCATTAGAATCTAATCATTTAAAAAATTATTAAATTTTACGAAATAGAATTATAAAAAAAATGATAACTATTTTATTTATCTACAATATGACCACTATCATCAACCAAGGTGTGCTAAGATAGAACTGCATATTGTTTTTGACTAAGCCTTCTTACAAATTCAGCTACTCCTGTGGAGTTAGTTGGCTAAATCGGGCGTACTACTGTAGTGAAAGAGAACACAGGTGGGGCAACCGAACTGCATTTCACGAAAATTACAGAGTTATTCAGTAAAATCGGAAAACCATATCGTAAATCGTTCATTTGCAAATTATCACTCCATCATCATATCGAATTGGACTGTTCCTGTTGCAAAACATCAATCCATTGTCACTACTATTCATGCGTTTCATACAAATTCCATTGTGTTCTAACTCTTCCTTTCTTGATCTTCCCCCATTTTCTGCTGCCAGACATTACGTTGACACTCACATCATATACTACTTATAAGTAGCTCACACCACACTACCAGGCAACTTAACCAACGAATGAGTAAACATCTGTCCCAGTATGGTTTATGAAGGGCCGTATAAAAACAATACGCAGTTCTATCTTAGCACACCTTGGTTGATAGTGGTCTAGATCTATCTTGTATACCTTCATCATTTCCCGACGGAGTGCTAATCCCGTCTCCAAAACACATAGCATAAACTATTTTATCAAAAAACAAATTAACACATTAAAATCAAAAAAATTATTATTTTCCAAATGTACTTTTACACATAATTCATCCTATATAGTACACACATGACATTGAGAGAAGTTATCCTTTGTACTATGGTACTAGTACACACTAGTACTACTACTACACAAATCACATGTGAATGTCAACGAATCAAGTTGTAACTAATATATATATATAGTGTTTTTTAAAAAAAAGTTAAAAAAAATATGTCAAGTTTGACATGAATTTTTTATGTTTCATGTAAACATAGTTCAATGTTACAGTTATTTAGTGTTTAAATTAGCCTCATACACACACACACAAAATAAAACCAACGTACTGATAAACAAACAAACTACAGATAACGTGACGCAAACACAATTCAATTTTTCGAATGCCTTTCAAAAAAAAATAAAACTACAGAAGTAATGAATAGTTATTAGAAAATAGAAAAGTGGATGGATGAATAGATTGATGTAATAAAAAGTACACAAGATAATTTTTTTTTAAAAAAGAAACAAGCAAGCATAAGTAACTTACTATATCACATTCAACAATTCTCTAAAGCTTTTTTTGGGGGGCAGTGTTTTGGAGGTTTGTGTTTTTTTCACACATTTGAAATCATCAATCAATCAATCATTGTTAGACCACCATTAGAAACCTGGAAGCACTGAAACACGGTCGTTTCGTCCTGCCTGGTATGGGACTCATCAGTGGCAGTGCGCATCCACGACTCCTGCACCTGGCAGTCAATCGAACCAGGGACCTTTGGTATTGTGTGCGAACGCCTAACCGTCGGACCGAAGGTCCCGGGTTCGAATGACTGCGAGGTGCAGGAGTCGTGGATGCGCACTGCTGATGAGTCCCATACCATGCGGGATGAAACGGCCGTCCAGTGAATACAGGTTTCGAATGGTGGTCTAACAATGATTGATTGATGATTTCAAATTCTCTAATCCCTGTTCACTACAAAATCCAAGTAGTTTGCAGCAATAAACGTTAGTTAGTTACGCCTGTTACCCCTAGTGGAGCATAGGCCGAACCGACCAGTATTCTCCAACCTACTCTGTCCTGGGATTGCCTTAGCAGTCTCTTTCCAATTTATGTCCATTTCTTTCATGTCTGTCTCCACTTTTCGGCATGATGTTTTCGTTGACCTCCCTTTTTTTGTCTGACCTTGTGGGTTCCAAGGTCAATAGACACGCTTTGTGATGTGAAGTGTTGCATCCCTAATTGTTAACCAATATCACGTGACAAATACAAAACACCAATCAGAATTAAGCCTAACCTCAGTATCCTTAAGTTAGCTGAAAGTCCTTATTCATTCACAACTCGATAGGTTTGTTTCTCTCTCTACCCTGCATTCAGAAGTTCAGAAGTCCCCGTGGGATAGTCTTCAAAAAATTTATTTTATTCCAAACAAACATAGTTGGTTTGTCAATTAGAGTTACGGAGATTGATGTTTTTACACATTTGAAATCACATCAATCAATCATTGTTAAACCACCATTAGAAACCTGGAAGCACTGAGAGACGGCCGTTTCGTCCTGGTATGGGTGTAGGCAGTAACTACCAAAGACAAATGGGTGAGGTAACGCAAAATCCGTAGATCAATCAAAGTTAGACATTAACACCGTTAGATGCAAGCCCAGTGGTCCAATGGTTAGGCGTTCGCGCACCATACCGAAGGTCCTGGGTTCGAATCCTGTGAGGTGCAGAAGTTGTGGGTGCCCACTGCTGATGAGTAGTCCCATACCAGGACGAAACGGCCGTTCCAGGTTTCTAATGGTGGTTTAACGATGATTGATTGATGATTTCAAACAGTTGATTTGACAAACATATCAGAACACATCACCATACATATAGAATGAGAAAATACATCGTTTATAACATGAGTGATCCAAAAGTGACTGTGAACAGGGAAGATTGTAAATGATAGACTAGTAATAGATCAGAAATAGTAAATCATACATAGTTGTTAGTTAATTGGTCAACCAAGAGGTCATGACAAAAGGAATATGAATATGTAATAATCTAGTCCACGAGATTTACATTGAAAATAATATCTAACTCCTATGGACTTTACAGATAACTTAGCTCTTCTATCCTACAATATAGGTGAAGATGGCTAATGTAGTAAGCAGCCTGTAAGGCAGTAGGCAACAACTTGCACCAACTGAATTACACATGATGAAGAAACTTTGGACAGGATGTAGAAACGTTTACAGATGTGAACAGCATCAGAGAATAAACAGGTGGAGTCTACGCAAAATACTTCGTATTCGTTATTCCAGACACGATCAGCAACAACCTACTGTGGGAAAGAATAAACCAGATTCCAGTGGAGGAGGAAATCAGGAAGCGCTGGAAGTGGATAAGACACATATTCCGAAAAGCACCCAACTGCGCCACAAGAAAACTCCTCACTTGGAACCCTCAAGGCAAAAGGAAAAGAGGAAGACCAAGGAACACATTACGTCGAGAAATAGAGAAACACATGAGAAGAATGAATAAAAATTGGACAGAACTGGAAAGGGAAGCCCAGGACAGAGTTGGTTGGAGAAAACTGGTCGACGGCCTATGCTCCATTCGGGGTAACAGGCGAAAGTAAGTAAGTAAGTAATGATTATATGAACATTTCATGTCATTTATTTTGCAAAATTCAATCAAGGCATTTAAAAATAGATTTCGATTCTATTCAATAAGACTTTGTAGTACCAATCAATAAACCGGAAGTCAATCATTCATCAGAGAGACACACATACAAAGAGAGAGAGGGAGAGAGTATATATAATAATTAAATGACCTGTACATTTTTATCAGTCAGTCAGTCAGTTGCAACGGAGAACTTCGTACGTAAGTACATCAGTTCATGTCACCATACCACATCAGCACAGAGATGTAATTGTCAATCCAAGGTCTAAGGGCGAAGTCATACTGCTGACTGACTGTAGAGGGGTGTGACAGCAGCAGTAAGGTGTTTCCCTCGGACAACCAGCATCTGCAGCGATGTTACTGCCTTCTCACAAGGAAAGAAGGGTTAGAAAAGGTCGACCCTAAAAATGTCACACCTCACCCTACCTCACGGATTATCCGTCTCCTTGGGTAAAGGTGCCCACTAAGGGCCTTTAAGAACGGAGCTAATCCTCAAAAAACATCTCATAAAAAGGCCGTGCGTGACCGGCCTCAAGCAGTTGTCCCTTGGACTCTGCGGTTACGCTCTCAGGTCGTTAAGACCAACACTAATCTACCCTCCTTTTCAGGTTCCTCAAGAAACAACAACCTTCCACGGTGTGGGCAGCCGGGAAGTGACAATCGCCCTCATATCCGTAACAGTACGAGAGATATTTTTATCAATAGTAATAATAATAATAATAATAATAATTACTAATAATACATATCATCAAAGTATAACTTACATCTGTTGCAAGTTCCAAATTATTCAAACATTTATCACAATCTTTCTTTCTAATTAATTTCATACATTCAACAAAATGTTTCACACAACATGATTGATCATGTCTCTGATCAGTTGCCTTGTTCAATGGTTGTTGCTGTTGCTGGTGTTGTTGTTGTTGTCGATTTAACTGTTTTGTTTTTAAACGTTGACGTTGTTTAATAATTTTATGCGGATTCATGCTAGTCATTGTATAAATCCAATTTTGAAATGATTCCGAATTGGCATAGTACAGTGGACCGCCATATTTTAAAATTATAATACCTGGTAGTTTAATTGCCTAAAGAAAGAAAGAAAAAAAAAGAAATTGAGATGACAAATTAAATTCAAGTTGTTGTTTTTTTTGTCTATTCTAGAATAAAACATAATAATAACTACCGTTGGATGCCGCTGGCCGGCCCAGTGGTCCGATGTTAAAGGCATTCTCCTACAATGCCGAAGGTCCTGGGTTCGAATGACTGCGAGGAGCAGGAGTCGTGGATGCGCACTGCCAGCGACGAGTAGTCCCATACCAGGCGGGATGAAACGGCCGTCTTTCAGTGCTTCCAGGTTTCTCTAATGGTGACGGTCTAACAATGATTGATTGATTGATGATTTCAAATGTGCAAAAAAACGCAAACCTCCAAAACTCTGTCCCAAAATAATGATGTACGAAGCGACGCTGAAATCATGAATCAATTGGTCTGGTCACTTGGAAAAACCAAACAAAAGTCCTAAGGTTCGATTTCCTGCGAGTAGCAGGAATCGTGGATACGCACTACTGATGGGGAGTCCCTTTCATAGTGCTTTCAGGTTTCTAACATTTGATCAAATCATGGTTTTTATGTCAATTGTTAGAATTTTAGACATTTTCTTAATTTGCATTACTGGGTTGTTGTGAAGATTGTTAGGTTTTATTTGAAATCATCAATCGATCAATGTTAGACCACCATTAGAAACCTGGAAGCACTGAAGGCCGGCCGTTTCGTTCTGGTATGGGATTCCTCAGCAGCAGTGCGCATCCACGACTCCTGCGCCTCGTAGGATTCGAACCCGGGACCTTCGGTATTGTGCGCGAACGCCCCAACCATTGGACCACTGACCAGGCATCCGACGGTGTTAATGACTAACTCCCGTCGACCTAAGGTTTTTGTGCGACCTCACCCATTTGTCTTTGGTAGTTACTGCCTACACCCGACAGGGTGGAACTCCATTGGTCACGTCTTATCACTAGGCGTTCGCGCACAACACCGAAGGTCCCCAGTTCGAATGCTGCGAGGTGCAGGAGTCGTGGATGAACACTGCCGACGAGTAGTCCCATACCAGTACGGAACGGCCGTCCAGTGCTTCAAGGCTTCTAATGGTGGTCTAACAATGATTGATTGATGATGTCAAATGTGTAAAAAAGACAAATCTCCAAAACTCTAACTGACAATTGTATATTTCTCATGATTAATTTGTTCAATAATTTATAAGGATTTCTGCTGTTATATTCTATTTTCTAATAAGAAGCTTTATTGTCTTTCGTCATCAATTCAATCAGTCTTATGATCAGTAGTCACATTTTTATTTACTGCGTATTAACAATCGATCGATTAACGCATTTCAATTCTCTTATTCAATAGTTGCTGAAAGAAATTCTTAATCACAAATTATAAAAATCTTAATTTTCTAACACAACTTCATCAGTAACAAGAGATGTATGGTAACAAGCAATATAAAATCCAGAAGACGCATTTCATCCCAATCAGGACTCGTCAGCATCCAACAGTTAGTTAGTTGATGTGTCTCTGTCCACTCCGGAACTGATCAATTGGTCAATTGGGAACAACATTCAAACAGTTAATAAAAATGAAATTTGCATTACGGGGTTGTGAAGATTGTTAAGTTACACATTTTTGAAACCATGAATCGATCAATGTTAGACCACCATTAGAGAAACCTGGAAGCACTGGACGGCCGTTTCGTCTTGGTATGAGACTCCTTATGGTTTCAAAAATGTGTAACTTAACAATCTTCACAACAACTTCAGTTCACTTTACGTTATCTACAAATCGCCTTCTGTTCTCATTCTTTCCTTCTCGATCTTTTGCTATGAGACGTTTGATTTCCATTTGATATCATATACTACTTATGTGAACATAAGTAGCGTACACCATAGTATGATATATAAATATATATATATATATATGTCTTACGCGGTTGTGAAGATTTTTTTGAAACCATGAATCGATCGATGTTAGACCACTATTAGAAACCTGGAAGCACTGGACGGCCGTTTCGTCCTGGTATGGGACACATCAGCAGTGCGCATCCACGACTCCTGTACCCCGCAGGATTCGAATCCAGGACCTTCGGTATTGTAGGCAAACGACTAACCATCGGACCACTGAGCCGGTATCTAATGGTATTATTGTCTAACTTAACAATCTTCACAACCCCTGTAATGCAAATTATCTGTGCTCACTAGTGACTAGCTTCGTGAGGAATCTTCTCCGAGTTCTAGTGGGAAGACGTGATCAGTGAAGTTCAACCTGTTCGGGTGTAGACAGTGTCTACCGAAGACTGTGTATGAGGTTGCGCAACTCCGTGAATTTGATCAAGTTAGACATTAACACCGTTAGATACCGGCTCAGTGGTCTAACGGTTAGGGCGTTCGCGCACAATACCGGAGGTCCTGGGTTCGAATCCTGCGGGACGTAGGAGTTGTGGATGCGCACTGCTGAGGAGTCACATACCAGGACGAAACGGCCGTCCTTCAGTGCTTCCAGGTTTCTAATGGTGGTCTAACATTGATCGATTCATAGTTTCAAAAATGTGTAACAAATGAAATTGACTTCAGAAACATTTAAAAATTCACGTAAACATAATTATGAAAATAATGATCATGTTCACTCACTTCATCGTGTTTTTTTAAATCAACATAAATATTTGTGTTTGGAATTTGACCAAGTTCATAATAATAAGTTAATTGTGTACGATATAATATACTGAATAATGAGAAACATAAACCAGTCAATAAACCAATTGGGACATCAATAAACACAGTGGCCAAAAATGTTACAAGCCATATGAGCTTTAAAAAGAGAAAAATCAAAAAAGAAAACCAGAGTGAACAAAAAAGGAAAATGATTTGATTTTTACACAAGCGCATAGAAAATTTCCTATACATTTATAAAACTACTGATTGAAAAATCAGTAGTATAATTTTTCAATTGCAATTAACTGCAGTAGACTAGTGTGTTGATCCTTTCGAGCCCTAGTTAGAGCTCGTATCTGTTTGAGGCTTACTTGGGCGTAGGAAAGACACCGTAAGGAAGCCTCTTAGGGTTTTACTTAATGATAATCAAACTAAGAAAATATTTCAGGAGCAACTAGAAAGACAGTTAAGCAACCATGTAAGTGATTCCCATCCAGAAGCAGGTTGGTATGCTATCAAAAAGGCTGTGGAAACAGCAGTGATATCTTCTAGTAAGGTAAACCATAAGTCTAGGATGAAGAAGTGGATCTCAATAGCATCTACCGAACTGATCGATGCTCGAAAACTCATCCCGCCTGGCTCTGACAGCGATGAAGAGCGGAGTCAGCTTAGACGTAGGCTGACAAAAAGCCTACGCAATGATCGTGAACAGTGGTGGGTGGAGAAAGCGGGAGAGATGGAAAAGGCAGAGTGTGTTCTCTCAAATCCTAATCTTCTAGATTCTTCAACCTGCTCTAGTTTTGACTTTCTAAACTTTTCTCATTGAATCACATACTTCTTGAATAATATCTTCTAATCTTAACCTCTCCGATTACTTCTGATACCATTACTACCTCTTCTACTACTGTTGGATTTGAATTGACAATTATACTTCTGTGCTGATATAGTATGGCAACATGAACTGATGTACTTACGTACGTACGAAGTTCTACGTTGCATCTGACTGACTGACTTCGACAAGATTACAAACAAATCGACATTTACGATAACGAGTCTTGGAGTTTGGCGTAAAATTTATTTGCGGTTAAACAGTATTTTGGTATTAAAACTGATAGAGATTATAATGTTACTGTTAAATCCCACTACAAAATTTTGGACATAAATCTTTTAAAACACTAATTCAGTAGCAGTGAAACTGATCAATATTAGTAGGATATGGAGATTATTGTTTGTCATTGAAATCACGAATCGATAATCGTTAGACCACTGGATAGCCATTTCGTCCTAGTATGGGTCTCTTCAGTAGTGCGCGTCCAAGACAACAACAGACCAGAATCAAATCCAAGGAACTTCAGTTTCTCTGGCGAACGCTTGACAGCGCAACTACTGGAGCTGGCGGCATCCAGCGGTGTCAATGTATAACTTTAATCGATCTAGGGATTTCGCGAAACCTCGCTCATTATCTTCGGTGGGTAACTCTACCTACCTACACCTGACATGGATGAATTCTACTGATCACGGCTCCCCTAACAAGAACTCCGATAATTTCTTCACGAAGCTAATCATAATCGAGTATATTCTATGATTTGGCATTATATAGATGATATGAATATTGTTGTTAGTGATTTCCATAACTAATTATAAGTTATGTCATAACTAACCAAACAAATTGTGGTTTAAGCGACCATCCATCACGTGATCTGATCTAACGTGTCTGTAAACTTTCTTTAATGTAAATGACCTACTCATTGAACGACATTATTATCTTATTTGATTGATGTGACTCATAACTTTATTCATTTGTCATATGACACGCTATATGGGTCGGTATGTGTACTGGGTTCATTTGTGATAACTGTCATTTCCTTAATTTATTGTACTAATCTAATTATTTTTATGTTTAGAAACAGATTAAGTTTAAAGCTGAATTGGTCTTGTGTTTGACTGACTACAGCTTTCCCATAGACTCTGCTGTGCTCGCCAATAATGCGTTTACAGTTCTAGGAGTACATCTGTAGGATGAATTAAATCTTACAGTACTTACTTAAATGAGAGATTTATCACATGAGTTATATTCATGTAAATAATATTGGTTGTTTTAGTTATGATTATTGGTCGATTCCTATTGGTCAATATTTACTGTCGTCCTAAGTGTCAAGGTCAAAGACTTCAATATTGTCTCCTATTGGTCGTACTAACTATCAATGTCACTTAAAATGTTGTTTCTTATTGGTCACCTTAACTGTCAATCTCACGGACTTCAATGTTGTTTCTTATTCGATCTAACTGTATAAATATGCATCATCTGTAGCGTATGACCCGGATTCCTAGTGGGAGTTCCTGATTCTCTTCTGGAATCGGACCTCGTACTTTCTGGATGCTTGTAGAATACATGTTCTACTTCATATCAAGTCTTATTCTACTCAATGGGGGTTTGGGACAATCGGATTAGAGTAGCCTGTCGTGTCGCCGGATCCTCGATCCTCGCTCTCGCTTAACGACTACGGTAAACTCGTAATAGTCCAAGCATATCAAGTCACGTGCTCTACGTGTATGCATAACAGTTATGGGCCACGCAAGTCAATGAATTTATGCATGAGTTGGGATATAGTCTGAGTGCTTGAAGTGATATGAGTGGATTTCTTTAATGTGACTACTCTCCAAGCTTTTCACTTAGAAGAGGCTTGATCAACAAGGTAGTAGAGCGATGTCAGAAGATGCAGTCCCATGGAAGTTGCTGACCAACAAAAAGGTTCATATATCATTTGTTCCTACAGTGAGTACCACACTGGAGCACATCAGTGCCAATGGTTTGAAATCAGGGTTTCGCATGTATCTGGCCCTCCAACTCCCTCGAGGTAGATCCTTCCTTCCTTGTGTTGGACTATAGCTTTCCCATAGACTCTACAGTGCTTGCCAATATTGCGTTTACAGTTCTAGAAGTACACATCTGTAGGACAAATTAAATTCTACAATTGTTATTTCTAATGGAACCAGAAGAAAAACACTTTACACAATGTACAATTACTTACCATATCATATATTGACACTTGATATAATTTACGTAAATCCATAATTTGTAAAAAAATACTTTCAAGTGATACAAAAATAATTGATGATAAAATACACTGGGAAAAAAAAGAAGGAAGCAATAGAAATTAAAGAGAGAAATAAAAAGCAATCTGTTGAACAATTGAACAAGTATTATAATTATCATTATTCAATATACAATAATCAATCAATCAATAATTAGTAACGTAAAACTTCGTACGTACATACATCAGTTCATGTTGTCATATCACATTATTAGCATAGAGAGAAATGGAATTGTCAATTCAAATCCAATAGTAGTAAATGTATTAACAGTAGTCGGAGAGGTTAGGATTAGTAGATATGAGTCAAGAAGTATGATTCAATGAGATAAGTTTAGAAAGTCAAAACTAGAGTTGTTGGAGAATCCAGAAGATTAGGATTTGAGAGAACACAGAGAATAAATGCACCGGCACCATTGCGAAAGATTTTGAGAATGTCATTCAGGGTCTCTAACCATCGATTATTATCATCTCGCGGACCCCAACCAGGTAGTCGACAATTACCGACATGACTCAGTCCACTTGTCAATGACTTCATGGATTTCTGCCATGTTTTGGTTTGGCCGCCCCTAGCTTTCTTCCAACCTACTCCTACATTGCAAAATGTAGCACGACGAGGCAGTCGGTGGTTAGGCATACGCAATACATATAGACAGAGTGGATTAAATCTGTAGGTGAAAGGTTTAGGGAGTAATAGTACCCCTAAGGAACCCAACTGACAATTAGACCGCTCCCTTGTCCAGAGTACTCACAAACTCCTCAATGATTTATGTGGTACATCAATATTTTGGTGTTTCTTTGTACTCATAAATATTTAAAAAAGTGGTCAATATCTATGCTTAGTGGTGAATTCTTTCAAATGGTCAGTCATTAACGGATCGAGATGTGACAACACATCATTAGATAGATAGAAAAAAATCGTTTTCCAGTAAAAAAATTAGCTTAAAGTTAACCAACATTGAATGAATAGTGTTGATGTGCATGAAAAATCAGGTGAGGACATCAACAACATATTACAGGGTTGTTAGGCATATTTACAAAACCTTCCCGTGAATCATCATTTGCAAACTAATCCTTATTTGTCTCAGATTTCAGTGTTCTTTCTTTTAGACTGTTCAGACTTCAGTTCACTTTACCCTTATCTACAAATCGCCTTCTGTTCTCATTCTTTCCTTCTCGATCTTTTGCTGTCAGACGTTTGATATAATATACTACTTATGTGAACATAAGCAGCGTACACCACAGTATGATCGATATATATAGTGAACAGTGATTAGAGAATTTGAAATCATCAATCAATCATTGTTAGACCACCATACGAAACCTGGAAGCACTGGAAGGCCGTCAAGTCCTGGTATGGGACACATTTGCATTGCGCATCCACCACGACTCCTGCACCTCGCAGGATTCGAACCCAAGACCTTCGGTATTGTGCGCGAACGCCTAACCAAAAATGTGTAACTTAACAATCTTCACAACCCCGTAATGCAAATTACTTGTGCTCACTAGTGACTAGCTTCGTGAGGAATCTTCTCCGAGTTCTAGTGGGAAGTTGTGATCAGTGAAGTTCAACCTGTTCAGGTGTAGGCAATGTCTACCGAAGACTGTGTATGAGGTTGCGCAACTCCGTGAATTTGATCAAAGCTAGACATTAACAGCGTTAGATACCGGCCCTGAGGTCCGATGGTTAGGCGTTCGCGCACAATACCGAAGGTCCTGGATTCAAATCATGCGAGGTGCAGGAGTCGTGGATGAGCACTGTTGAGGAGTCCCTTACCAGGATGAAACGGTCGTCCACTTCTTCCAGGTTTCTAATGGTGGTCTAACATTGATCGGTTCATGATTACAAAATGATATGTATATACATCCACTGGATGACAAAAGAACTAATCAAGAAGTGTATGATCAAAAGTATAACATTGTTAATTAAACAAATTGTTAATATAAATATCTGATGATATATACGATTTAGAATGTAGAACAACATAATTTCTAGATGAGATTAAATGAAGAAAAATATTAAGAAGGCTTTTAAAAAGTTGCCATTTTTACCACATATGCGTGACCACGTCAATTTGATATGCTTGAACGATTACGAGTTTACCATAATTGGTAAACGAGAGCGAGGATCGAGGATCTGGCGACATGACAGGTTACTCTAATCCGATTGTCCCAACCCCCCCCCCTTCGATTAAGTAAAAGAAGAACACTTGATATGAACTAGAACCTGTATTCTACAAGCATCCAGAAAGTAGGAGGTCCTACTCCAGAAGAGGCTGAGGATCCGGGTCCGATTCCGAGTCATAAAACGTTACAGATAATGCGTATTTATACAGTTAGGTCGAATAGGAAACAACATTGAAGTCTGTGACATTGATAGTCAGGACGACCGATAGGAATTGACCAATGGAATTAGACTTACACACAATTATCTTAGGCTATTGGATGAATATCCTAACATACACACTCAAGATATTGGGATTCGTTAACAAAATATTACATCGACCTGTTGACCTTAGATAAAAGATAGATCGGTTGATACTGATTGGTCAAAAAGCAGAACAACTGAATGATAAACATTGAATACTACAACAAGCCTATAAACTACCCCACAATCCACATCACCTTATTATTGATGATGTAAAGAGCTTTGTAAGATGTTGAAGCATATGACTAGAACACATGTGATCACTCTATCGACTATTCAACGTAGTTCTTTATTTAAATAAAAAACAGACTAAAAACATGTCAACAAACAATAATGAAATGAATGATCTGACAGTTATATTCACTTAAATCAAGTTGAAAAAACTCGACCAGTATAATATCGTTTAATAGCGAATCAGCAACAATAGATGTAACATTCAAAACATGTGAAAACAATTCAATATCAACAACTCTAATCCAGGGAATGTGTTAGGGAAGTTAGATCCCCAGAACTCGCTTGATAAATATCTTTATTTTGGATTTAATTCATGGGTGGATCATTTGGCCTTGAGATAACATTTCCCACCAGGAAAATCCTTGGCTGTGATTGGTTGCTGTGTATTTCAGTGTGCTATTTTTGTGACTGTCCCAAGGACGTTTCTATGATGTATAAATAAACGCGATTTGTGTGCTTGAATGCATTATGCTTACTGGGTGTTTGTAGAATATACTTTCTACGCTATATCAAAACTTTTCGTTAGTTCGCTTGAATCGGCAGATCAGAGTAGCCTACCTGGACGCTGGTTCATTGTCTCGTTCTCGTTTATCGACTAAGGTGAACCTGTAATAGTTTCAAGCAACCCTAGTGACGATCATAACAAAAGGCAATGAAGCAATGTCAAGGAGATGCAGTCTCATGGTAGCCAGTGACCAATAAATAGGTTCACACTTCATGTGTTCCATGTACATCACACGGTTTGTCATCACCTAGAGGTGGATTTCCCTGTTCCCATCAATCTGGTCCAAGCGTCAGACGTTTGTATTTCGTTCCCTTAATTTCGTTAAAAAACATCTGTACCACGAGAAGACAGTGATTAGGACTTCCTTGGTAGTGGCTATATATATATATATATATATGAGAGCATTTCGAGAGAGCAAGAGAATTCTCCCTACTTTTGGTCGTACCAAGGCATTTCAGGATCACTTTAGCGTAAAACCAGAAGACACAATTTTTAAAAAAAAACCCGTTCAAATCACTCATATCCCCGATTGTTAATCATTTTCCTAAACAGTGGGATGTTATGCGGATAAGTAATCCTTAATCGTCAGATATTGTTCATGGTTATTGACATGTGAATTAACTGGAACTTACAAAATCGGATTATTATTATTATTATTATTATTATTATTATTACACTGAACAAACATTTTTAATTTATTTTCATTGAAACATGTGATATATTAAGAATAGACAAGAAATGAATAATTTTGAAACCATAAATCGATCAATGTTAGACCACCATTAGAAACAGACAGACAGATGCAACATAGAACTTCGTACGTACGTACATCAGTTCATGTTGCCACACCACATCAGCACAGATATATAATTGTCAATTCATATCCAATGGTAGAAGAGGTAGTAAAGGTATTAGAAGTAATCGGAGAGGTTAGGATTAGAAGATATTATTCAAGAAGTATGATTCAGTGAGATAAGTATAGAAAGTCAAAACTAAAGGTGTTGAAGAATCCAGAAGATTAGGATTTGAGAGAACTCAAAGAATGGATGCACCTGTGCCATCACAAACGATTTTGAGCCATGTCGTTCAAGGTCTCTAACCATCGATTATTATCATCTCGCGGATCCCAACCAGGTAGTCGACAATTACCGACATGGCTCAGTCCACTCGTCAATGACTTCATGGATTTCTGCCATGTTTTGGTTTGGCCGCCCCGAACTTTCTTCCAACCTACACCCACACTACAAAACAAAGCTCGTCGAGGCAGTCGGTGGTTGGGCATACGCAACACATGTCCCAACCACCTCAACTGATGAAGTTTCAATAATTCATCTATTGATCTGACATCCTTACCTAGCACCCGATTCCTAATAACAGCGTTGCTCACTCGGGTGTCCCACGATATACGAGCAATGCTTCGAAGACACCTATGATCGAAAACCAATAACCGACAAATATCTTCTACTCTCACTGGCCATGTTTCACAGCCATAAAGTAGGATGGAGAGAACTACTGCGCAGTACACTCGTCCTTTAGTCAGCGAACGGATATCTCGCCTATGCCTACCCGTAACAGCACGAGGGACCAAATTGGTCGAAATCAAATCCTTCCTACACCCACACATACCTCTCTTCTCTCCACAACCATTAGAAACGTGGAAGAACTGGACGGCCGTCTCGTCCTGGTATGGGACTATTGATCAGTGGCAGTGCGCAACCACAACTCCTGTACCTCCGAGGATTCAAACCCAGGACTTCAGGTATTGTACGCGAATGCCTAACAACCTCCGGAGTCGTGGATGCGCACTGTCACTGATCAGTAGTCCCATACCAGGATGAAACGGCCATCTATCAGTGCTTCCAGGTTTCA